ATAGCGCACTCTGTAACATTTCATGCCTTTGGTGATGCAGGCTGTGGTCCATGAAATCATAATGCCATAATAAAAATGTGTCACCCTTAAACTACAAAGCCCTTTGAAGTTTCAAAACTGCACAACTTTCTACGGTGTGTTTTTCAGTGTTGTTTAGTATGGGTGAAGAGAGAGGGAAGCAGAACTTTTTGGTCCTCAGCTTTTTTTGGAGCAGGTTTTAGGATGTATTGTGAAAAAAGATTCTGGATCCTTAAACATCGCCCTGCCTTCTCAAATCGGATTAAATAACCCTGGAAACATCCAGGAGGATCACATTTGCAGAAATAAACCTTTGGCTGTGTGAAGATATTTCGTGTTTTGTGTTTTTTCCCCCCCATTTTTCCTACATATAAAAACTTAATACTGTAATAGAATATGCTGTACCCCTTACTATAGATCTAAAAACAACTATGGTTGTCTACCTATCTGCTTGTCTATATCCTCTTGTTTCATGGGGGAGCTGCTATACAATCGTTATAGAGGGGTAGCTTTCTTAGCCTTTCGCAACAACATGACAACCTTAAAAAAAACAAATTCATGTAATTGCATATCATTATATAATATGTTTAGGATTCCAATCAGGTAGAACTAACTTTAGCCCAAGATGCTGTCAGCTGATAGAGGGTCCAGCAAGTCAATTCATTCTCCTTTATGCATTTCTCTCTGCTCCTGTAACACTCCTTGAAGTCACAAAGAATTGGGCACAACTTAAGGACTGAACAACAACAATCTACTCCTAAAGACTCCCTAGAATTGTCACTGATTTTTTTCCTTTACCACTGCATGTAAATTTCTGCATGACTAGGGAGCCCCCAAGTGTGTAAAAAGAATTTTAGTTTTTAAAAAAAGGATTTTTAAGACCAAGGTCAGAATGACTGGTATTTGCATAAGGCTTGTCTAACTTGCTGCAGTTAACTGCGACTAATGGATGAGGCTCCAATATCAGTCTCAGTTGAATACCTGGTCATACATCTGATTATACAAACAAGAGGTATCTCATCAGTTAGCTGTGGCAAATTACACAAAGCTGATGTGAACACAAATAGGATTTTGGCCTGTGCCACTTTTTATGGTCAACAAGAAGGATGATTTATAGTTACAGAAAGTCAATCTCCATGACTGGAGGAGCACCATAGCCCTTCCTTAATCCATCAGGGGCTGCATCTTCTTGCCAGAGCCGGCAATGCAATGCCAAATTTCAGCCGTGAATCCGTGAGGAAAGTTCTCTAAAAACAAGGCATTTGTGGAATGCATGCATCATGTCTGAGGAAGTGGACATGATCCACAAAAGCTCACATTAAAACAGCAGTAAGTCTTTAAAGTGCCACTTCCCTCTGTTTCCCTCTGTTGTTTTTGTATGTTTGTGTTATCTTTTGTTTGTCATCTGATATGCATCACTGGCAAGATGATTATTGCAGGGGGCAGGCTTCAGAAAGTGCTAATCTGTTAGCCATTGGAACAGTGGAATAGTCTACTGGTGGTAGCTCTCACTAATTTCTACCCTGTCACCATTTCACAGACAGAGATCGTGGCACGGGTCCATTGAGAAAAGACAGGCCTCCACTTGGGCAAAGAAGTGGATAGTTGTGGGTTTTTCGGGCTCTTTGGCCATGTTCTGAAGGTTGTTCTTCCTGACGTTTCGCCAGTTTCTGTGGCCGGCATCTTCAGAGGACAGCACTCTCCTCACTCAAGACTGGGATTGTCATCCCTATGACACAACAATCTGTTACATTTTGCAAAACCAAAGAGAATTCTGGCCTTGCTAATAAGAAGCAAATACTGTAGCTGGGTAGCTCAGTGTGTTGGAACACCTGGCTGTGGAGTCAGAGACTGAGAGTGTGATTCTCCACTGTGCCTCCTGGGAGAAGAGCCAACTTTGCTTGAGCGAGCTGGACAATCTCTGAAAGTAAGGATAAGTAAACCACATCTGATTATTAAGAAACCCTGACAAAGGTTGTCATATGTCAGAATTAAGTTGACAGCTCATAATTCATAATTAAATAAGATGGGTGCATTCTGTGTTGTTTCTTTAAGGCAAATGCCACCATGCTACTAACCTTTGGCAGTGTGGGTGGCAGTGGGTTCATGGAAGTCATATGAGGAGTGAAACAACCCAAAATAGAAGAAGGAATGGGATGGTCAGATTTGCATTGTTTTCCATTGACTAGAGGGTGTACAAGACAATGCAAATCAACCCAGAGTTCTCCCCACCCCATCCATAGCTTTTTCCTCCACTGCTGGGAATTTTAATTTTTTGGAATTGAATGCATTTGCGTCAGTTCAGGCAGTGTGATCACTTGAGCTGATGTGGAGGAGTTTGTAGCTGTTCTATCTGAAGCCATTCCATCCGGCTACAGCAGCAGTGAAACTTGGTGCCATTTGAATCCTCTCCCCCTCACCAGACCTTGTGCCTGGGTCTGATTGCTTTCCTCTCCCCTTCCTTTCCCTTAGATTCCTGTTCTTTTTCTTTTCTTTTCTTTTCTTTTCTTTCTTTGTTTAAAGTTTTGCTGCCCTAGCACTAGGGCACCTTGATGGCCAAAGGAAAAAAAGAGCAAGAAATCAGCACAGAGAGAGAGAGAGAGAGAGACTGGACATGGGCACTTAACCTGGTTTGCAGATTGTTAAGATAGCTCTGCTTTAACCCTGCGTCCTGCAAATCTGGATAGCCAGAGCAGAGCTACCTTAACAACCTGCAAACCAGCCTAAGTGCCAATGTCCTCCCCTCTCTCTGTGGACTCCTGTGTGGTCAGCTGAAGCAAATTAACTCTGGGAAAATCCAAATTCCTGAGGGTGACTTCAGTGTTGACCAATTCACATTTTTCTTGCTGTGCATAGTCACACTTGTGTGGATGGCATTGAATGCACTAGGGAGAATGGGTCAACTGTCCTAGAGGCCATGCCCCTTTTCGTTTTGGTAAGTTGGGGGCAAAAACGCCCAAGGCATAAGCCTGCTGTCTTGGAACCTAATCACATTACCCATGCTTCTGAGGAACAATGAGTGTATATGCCATGGGGAAACAAAGCAGCTGTCATGTGATTTCCCCAAAACTAGAAATCACTTTTTAGCCCAAGTTGTAGGTTTAGTTGAGGTAGCCATGTTAGTCTGCGCTAGCACATCAAGCCAAAACCAAAAGAAAAATAAAACATAATAATTTTTTTAAAAAACTATTTTTCTTTTAGTGTGGGCTTACTGAAGAGCATGGGAGTGTGGCACATTTTTGTGGGAACTATTTATTTTTATTTACTTATTTCATCTCTGTGCCACCATGCTCCCAGTGAAGGATGCCCATGATGCCTTACGAATTAATAGAAAAACAAAGCAATTAAAAGCACTTTGAAATGGCATAGCAACAGATCTATGGAGTGGAAAAATAGAAATGGGAGTGGGGAGGGGACGAGTATCAGAACTACAGGGTATCTTGCAGTCCAGAACACATTGTACTGTACTTGGCATCTGTTTCGGCAACCCCAGCAAACCCTCCCCGACACTATTTTCTCCAACAGAGGTGTTCATACATGCCAAAACGAGCTTTTAAAAAGTATGACCAGAATTGATTCAAAATGAACAACCCTCTTATGGGTGTTTTAAAAAATTCACTTTCTGACAAAAAAAATTATATACATTTAGCTGTACATCATGTAGGTAGATGTTTTGAAATTGATTTCAAGCATGCTAAACCTGATGCAAAAACAGGAATATTATGACATACAGCCGAGCCCTCAGTTATTAAAAGCATATCAAAAACAGAAAGTCTTCAACTGTCTCCTGAAGGACATGAGGTGATGTTATTTTCTAAAGGTGATTATTTGAGGTGGATATTTCATTATTCGGTTAATTAAGGTCCAAACCATGTTAAATTCACTCCAAAGTCATATTAAACTGAAATTCTTGAACTGCAGTGTATTTTATTGCATTTACTAGTTTTGTATGTTCTCTAAATTAGTATGCCATAGATAATATAATTTCTTACCAGTTAACCCCTTCTCTCACACTCTAATGGATATAATGTCAATTTCTTCTTAATTTACCCTGGTTTCCTTTTCTTCCCCTTCAGTTTCTTTTGCCTGCCCCTCTGTTTTAACAGCTTTCAATATGTCTG